CACAACTAAACGATGGATTATGTTACTACGTGATGATAACGTTCAACATTCATGACATCAATATCAGTAAAGTTTATTCAATAACATATATAACTAGTATATAACTAGTAGAGTTATGCTTGCTTATGCATAACTAGTAAATTTATGCTTGCTATGCATAAATATTAAAGTTATGTAGACTCCGAAGTGGTAAATATGTTTTATGTTTACAACGAAATGTATTTCTTCAGGTACATAATTCAGGGTTGCCAGAAGGCCTAAAAACGGCCAAGTCCGCGGACAAAAAGGCAAAAAAAGGCCTATAACTCAATATATACAGGTATATTTGAAGACTTTGGTGTATAAATTCAAATTTTTTGCAATTAAAAAAATGTAATTATGTACCTCTATCCTAAATTTTAGCCGGGCAACGCAAGTGAAAAAAAACGAAATCGCAGAATTTGCCCGAAAAAAACACCGTCGGGCATCCCTATTTAAAAATAGTGCAGAAAATGAATTAATATTATAAGATGAAGCAATCAAAGTCAACGTGTTAAGGTAAATAATGTTTATGTCTCTAAAAAGTTGCCGCAAATTCAAAATGAAGCGTTATATGTAGTAAGTAATAGTCTAATAGCGATGTGTGTAATAGTCTAATTAGTAATAGTCTAATGATAGTGATTAGTAATAGTCTAATGATGTGTTAACACCTTGACGATGTTATGCCGGTTACGTTACAGGTCAATTTAGTCAATGGTATGATTTACTATAATTACTTTTATTAATATATTATTACTTAATTATTAAATTATCAAAGCATATAATATGATAATAATATACTATAATATAAAGCAATAAATTATAAAAGATTTACTATAACAATTAATTTACAGGGGCGAGGCCCGGATACCTAATTATTAAATTATAAATGAATATAATACAACAATAATATACTATAATATAATATAATATATACTATATTATAAAGCAATAAATTATAATATATTATAATTTATTATAAGAAACAACGTACAGGAGCGAGGCCCGGACACTCGTAGACGGTGTAGTCCCTCTCCTCCTCCCCCTCCTCCTCACTGTCTGCCTCAGACCCACCGCCTCCCCCCGCCTCACCTCCCCCTGACCTGCGGGGGTAACTCAGTTAATGAGGTTAAGGGGTTAATAAGGTGAAGGGTTAATGAGGTTAAGGGTTAATGAGGTTAAGGGTTAATGAGGTTAAGGGTTGAATGAGGTTAAGGGTTAATAAGGTCAAGGGTTAATGAGGTTAAGGGTTGATAATGTTAAGGGTTAATGAGGTTAGGGGTTAATAAGGTTAAGGGTTAATGAGGTTAAGGGTTAATGAGGTTAAGGGTTAATAAGGTTAAGGGTTGAATGAGGTTAAGGGTTAATAAGGTCAAGGGTTAATGAGGTTAAGGGTTGATAATGTTAAGGGTTAATGAGGTTAGGGGTTAATAAGGTTAAGGGTTAATGAGGTTAAGGGTTAATGAGGTTAAGGGTTAATGAGGTTAAGGGTTAATAAGGTTAAGGGTTAATAAGGTTAAGGGTTAATAAGGTTAAGGGTTAATGAGGTTAAGGGTTAATGAGGTTAAGGGTTAATATGGTTAAGGGTTAATAAGGTTAAGGGTTAATAAGGTTAAGGGTTAATGAGGTTAAGGGTTAATAAGGTTAAGGGTTAATGAGGTTAAGGGTTAATGAGGTTAAGGGTTAATAAGGTTAAGGGTTAATAAGGTTAAGGGTTAATAAGGTTAAGGGTTAATAAGGTTAAGGGTTAATATGGTTAAGGGTTAATATGGTTAAGGGTTAATAAGGTTAAGGGTTAATATGGTTAAGGGTTAATAAGGTTAAGGGTTAATAAGAAAAAAGACACTGATAACTATGAATGGGTCATACGGTCCTAATAGTTCCACAGTTTCTTAAGAGCAGAGACCGAACGTATCAATAATATGCCATTTGCCGCCGTAATAAAACGAGTCAGTGTGACCCACATGAAGCAATAAGTGCGAGGCTATTTGGTTCCAAAGTTCCAACTATTTATCTGAAAGATGTAAACCGTCAAGGCAAACCCCACAGTTTTGCCTGCCGAGATACTAAAAAGAGATCAATTTTTAACAGGTTTTTCCTAGTGCAAATTGTGAGAAATTTTTGGCGTGGCTGAAGCCGCTACCTGCCTTATTTTTTCCAGTTATCATGAATATTGAATTTCACATTCGTCACATACATCACCATCACTAACATCATCACAAAAATATTCATCACACAGGCTTGAAGATATTTTATTGCGAACATCGCTATACATTATATGAATAGTTACTACCTATTTTTTTCATGCGTTCTAAAGCTAAAAATTGTACGTCGAGAAGATGTATTAGAAGGAGAACATCATATTTGAATACAAGTAAAATGACACCCCGTAACAACACCCCCGTAACAACACCCCCGTAACAACACCCCGTAACAACACCCCGTAACAACACCCCCGTAACAACANAGTGGTACATGTGCGCCGAGTGCGCGAGGCTGCGGTCCCCCCCAGGGTTGCCGCCCCCCGGGGACAGCTCCCTGCTGGGCCCCGTCACCCCGTACGCGGGGTACGCCGTGTCTTTAGCCGCACCCCGCCGGCTGCTCAGCCTGGACATGTACCATTACATTAACATCTATTTTCATTACATAATCATCCATTAATTACCATTACATTAACATCCATTACATTAACATACAGTACGATTACATCAACATACATTACCATCAAATTAACATCCATTACATTAACATACAATACCATTACATTAAGATACATTCCCCTTACAAATTTTAAAATCCATTACCATTACATTACCATCCATTATCATTACGTTAACATCCACTATCATTACATCAACATCCATTATCATCCATTACCATTACATTAACATCCATTATCATTACATACGCTACCAACTATTACCATAACATACAGTATAAATAACTTATAATCTAATGCAATAAAGATATAAATATCTTAATCATAATCAATATAATTAGTGTCATTACAATTCAAGGCAGGGAGATTGCGTGAATAAGACCCAGAATGATAAGATAGAGTACGATAAAATACGGAGTTTCATCAGCATTATATCATTAGAATGAAATGAACTAAATATAAGCATCCTGCTTATAACTGCGCTGATATTTATCATCACAGCGTCTGGGATGATAACAACACTGATTATATTTATCATCACAGCGTCTGGGATAACAAAACTGATTACATTTATCATCACAGCGTCTGGGATGATAACAACACTGACTACATTCATCATCACAGCGTCTGGGATGATGACAACACTGATTGTATTTATCATCAAAGAGTCTGCGATGATAACAACACTGATGATATTCATCATCACAGCGTCTGCGATGATAACAACACTGATTACATTTATCATCACAGCGTCTGGGATGATAACAACACTGATTACATTTATCATCACAGCGTCTGGGATGAAAACAACACTGATTACATTCATCATCACAGCGTCAGCGAATAATTCTTCTCATTAATGTTTCATTAATCAACCACTTTCACTGATTAATTAATCTTCTCATTAATATTCTATAGCAAATAAGCGATGAACTAAATAAAGCGTGTTAGAAAAAACGGTGAAAAAACGGTCGCACCGTCATCCTAGTGGCCGGTCGCCCCGTGAAAATAAACTGTTTCGCCGTTTTTATCAGATGTTTTACGGATTTCTGGTGTTAAATTGGAATAAAAACGGTGAAACGGTGTTTCCTTTCACGTGCCGACCGGCCACTGAAACGCCGGTAATACAGTTAACGGTCATTTTTCTAACAGTGTAGTTTTGCTGGCTTAATTTACGTCGGTGAGGATCTCAGCAGCGTTGCGATCTCTGATGCACGGTTGAATGTCGTCAACACACCACTAACTTAATCCAGTCTTAACCTAATTATTAATATACCATCAACTTAAGCCAGTACTAGCCTAATTATTAATATACCATCAACTTAATCCTGTCTCAACCTAATTGTTAATATACCATCACTTAAGCCAGTACTAGCCTAATTACTAATATACCATGAACTTTATTCCAGTCTCAACCTAATTATTAATATACCATCAACTTAATCCAGTCTCAGCCTAGTTATTAATATACCATCAACTTAATCCAGTCCTAACCTAGTTATTAATATACCATCAACTTAACCCAGTCTCAACAAAATTATTAATATACCACTAACTTAATCCAGTACCAACCTAATTATTAATATATCATCAACTTAATCCAGTCTCAGCTTAATTATTAATATACCATCAACTTAATCCAGTCTCAACCTAATTATTAATATACCATCAGCTTAATCCAGTCTCAACCTAATTATTAATATACCATCAACAAGTTAATATACCAGTTCGACTGTAGGTGCATTTTCAGCGCATGACTATACAAGGCGCATGCGCATGTTACAGGATATATGTATGTTATGGGAGCACAGCTTGATTTGATGACAATTGATATATAGTCTCGGAAATAAGTACATGTATATCTTGCATAGAGAAAGGATTAAATAATAAAATTGAGATAAATAATTTTTAATAGAGCTAAAATAGATATATTTGAGTGCAAATTTGATGAGTTATAATAAGGCGGTAACTGAAGCTAAAAACACCTGAATAAATATTATTCGTATACACATAATTGATACATCGAAGAGGCATGTATGCTTTAAATCGAGTTAGAAAATAGTATCTAGGTATATAATGGCCTCGTGTCAAACGGCGGCCATGGTGGACACTTTTGTCAACCTTAAAACATTTCTAACACTGTTTTGATACACAAGTATTTTGCCAACTTTTCAACATATTCGTCACGGCTGTTTTCAAACACATCTTTCAATACGGCAGTACTTTCCTCGAATTTACAGCATGAATCAGTTTTCAGGCATTAAATTCAGTCACATTTCCGCTGCAAAATATTCTGAAGATGCTTTTAACTTGCGAGGATGCTCAAGAGATTTCAACTTGCACCAATGCAAGCACATTATGCAGCACGAAGGCCCCCCTATCTTGCTCCCACCGAGGGCCATCACCATCTAGAAGGCTGAGGCCTCAGAGGTTCCGCACGGGCCCACTTCCTCATGCCGGTCTGTAAGTACCCGGGAACGGGCCTCTGGACGTACCCCATTTACCAACGCTCTTAACTAAACGACGTGTCCTGTGAGCCCGTATCCGCCCACTCATGAGGCCGCTTGAAAGCTGCACGCATTTTCTGCCTTAAACCTCTTCCTGGGGACGTAGCAACTCCATAGATAATTCCACCAAAGCAATAAATGAAAGAAGCCGCTATCAGAACACGCCCGGACCACAGCATTGCCGGGGGATAAACGGCAGGGTCCGTGAATATCGACTGAAAGTCACTGAGTCCGCATACCAGCAGAATGACGAACATGGCGGGCATCAGGATAGACCAGAGTTGGATCAGCCTTACAAACCATTCGTGTAAACGATATCCAATTTAATCCTGAATGATGGCAACGAACTCGCGTACCCCGAAGACGCACAAAACGGCCACCAGGAATACCAAGGCGATGAGGTTGTTGATGACACAAACGCTGATGAAATCCAGCAGCTGTAGCACGTAATATCCTCCAGGAGTGCAGAAGACCAAGGCTATAAGGTACGACATTATAGTCGTTAGCAGCATCAAGACTTCCGTTTAGTAGGGAAAGTCGAAAGCGGATTGAAGGAGCACCACAACATAGGACATACCGCGCACCAACGAGGTCAGGATTAAGGTCGCCAGGATAGCGAAGACGAAGACAGAAGTTAGACGCGAGTTCGGCAAGATTGTTACTGCTGTTGTTATGGACTCGAATACTAAACCCGGTCCAAACGTCACGACATGCTTCACGTCAGTGCTGATAGCCGTCGCCATGAACCCAAGTATCAGAAAGATTAGCATGCTGTTCAGTATATTAGATAACACGTTGAATAGCACGAAGAGAGCAGAGGTGTAGAAGAGGGACAACAGTCTCAAGCTATCTTCGACAGCATAGGATACGTTGTCGAGGCTGTTCAGACATAGACTGATGACTACCTATCCTAGAGATGCAAGCCACAGTTAAGGGTCCCAGAGTGCCACAGGGTTGAAAGAGAACATATACTGAATGCCAGCCAAGGCGCCAGGTAGGAACCAAGAAGCGATGAAACAACCAAGAAGACAAGCCAAGGGTACCGCAGTCAGAATAGACACCAGGACCAAAATCCTTCGTGATCGAAGACGTTCCAAGATGTAGGTGATGAAGCCAGTTAAGAGCATTGCAATAAGTAGGTACATGGATAAACTCAAGTCGGGAGGACCCAAGTAGGCTGTTTAGTCCCATTTGTGGACTTTCAAGATGTACCTGAGGTAGAACTGCTCCGCGGAGTACATTCCGCTGCTTGCTAGAAGCGCCTCTTTTCCTTACGTAAGATGTGCTACAGGCACGCAGTTTGTTAAAGCCCAACTCTCGTCACATTCTGCCCACGGAAGTTCGACGTTGAACGACAGGATGAAATAGTACAGGATCTGCGCCAGAAATGGAACCGCCATAGCGAGAGTCAAAACTAAATTGAGGATCATGAGTACTGCTAAACTAGTGTATGCTCTTCCGAAGCCTTTTATCAGCAGGTACGTATCTTTGCCGGTCACACGACCGACTAACATCTGAATGTAGAGTATGGGCAGTCCGACAAGTATGTGCAACGCGATAGTCAAGTACAGGTAGGCTCCACCGTACATCTAAATCAGCAACGGGAATCTCCAAATGTTGGCAAAACTCAAGAAGTCGCCGATCCGCCCAAATTGCCAGAAAGCGTATGTCGGATAATCAAAACTCGACGAAGACCACGAGCGTTACAGGTTGACAGTGACGCAGGCGTGCGGCAGTAAGCAGTTCTCTTGTTGACGTTGTTGTAACTGAATTTGACTTTACACAAGCACTTCAGGAGGCTAGGCCGCTCGCAGCTCCACTACAGGATTCAAAGGATCTGTTCGCGTGAGGTTGCAGAAGGTATCTTCTGCGGCCAGAAACTCCTCGCAGTCCAGCGAGCAACGCCCATCGCTTTTCGATATTTCATCTCCATCAAAACTTGATAATTGTGAATTTAGTTAAAATTTTTTTTCGTTCGTCGAAACTTCCGCATCACTCTTTGGTCCAGGGGAGCAATTTTTCATAAGAATCAAGTCTTGGTTCGCAAAATTTCCCGTTTCATCTGGAAATTCTGAATTGGATGGTTGTAATACTTATCGCGCTACCGTCTAACAAATTGTGCCTTTACTCTCATTTGTACCGTCTGAAGCCTCAGCGTTTTCCGGTTCACCGATCATTGCACGTTAAATTCGTGATCGTTATCCACAGGCAATATAAATCCTTCCTATTGGATTTGGCTCACGTAATTGGATCAAACTAGTCCAGGTTGTAGGCTGGCGCTGCAATTTCCTAGTACAACAAAGACGGTCTCCACGTCGGGTGGGAATTATTGAACGCAAACTCGCAACGCGAGTCCTTAGGAACACAAGGTCCGCATCTTGGATACGAGGGCCGGGGTCCGTGCAGGAATTGATTAGCGTGAGTGCCTGCCTCCAATTAGGAAGCTGGTGCAGTCAACAACCGTATCCTTGCTACCATTCATTCAAGGTATTCTCTAACATTCATTCAAATTATTCTCTAACATTCATTCAAATTATTCCCTTAGATTCATTCAAGATGTCCACTGAGTTAGATTTACACGCCCTATATACAGTATTTGTAAGAAAATTTGAACATCATTCATAGTTGAAACTTAAGGCTTGGGATAGACCTGCATTGCCATTTGTTTTTAATTATATATTGGAGCGATAAATACGTCCANATGATTGGCGCGGAAGTGGGTAAGGAGAGGGCATGATTGGAGCGGAAGTGGGTAAGGAGAGGGCATGATTGGCGCGGAAGTGGGTAAGGAGAGGGCATGATTGGAGCGGAATTCGGCGTAAAAAGACATGATTGAAGGGGAATTGGGTAAGGAGAGAACATTATTGAAACGGAACGGGGTATCATGGGTGATGATTTGAGCGAAAGTGTGCAGGGAGCGGGTAGCAACAGAGGATATTTTAACAAACATAATTTTTTTTCAACGGGAGAGGCAAGATACGCACCATCAAAACCTGCATTTTACCATCAAATAAAGTAATATGTAATGAACCAAAAACTCTCGCTTATTGGCCTGCATGGCATTCGTTCAATGAATGCAATAGCATTCATTCAATTCAACTTCGTCGAGCAGGCAGGATAACTCCATACACCTGAGGCGCGATGCTACCGTATCCTCAGCTCGGCAGCTGTCCGTATCATTCCTTCACTCTCGCTTGCTGAGAATTATAGCGATGCTATAAGGATTCTGAATTGAATCAAGACACTTCTCTTGCACGATTCTGGGTTGAATTAAGACACTTATCCAGCACGATTCTGGGTTGAATCAAGACTTCCCCTGCACGATTCTGGGTTGCATCAAGACACTTCTTCTGCACGGTTTTGGGTTGAATAAAGACACTTCTCTAGCACGATTTCGGGTTGAATCAAAATATTTATCTGGCGCGATTCTGGGTTGAATTAAAACACTTCTTCAACACGATTCTGGGTTGAATCAAAACATTTATTCTACACGATTATGAGTTGAATCAAGACATTATTCCGTAAGCCGTAGGCGTGGCTGAAGTTTATCAACTTCAGGGACCAGCGTCAAAAAAGTCGTAAGCTTTGAGCACACAACTTTGAAAATTCCGCGGCCTGACGAAACTTGGCTAGCGCTGGAACTTAACTCCCGTGGGGCGGGGAAGAAGGGGCTCCAATGGGAGGAGGGAGATGGACCAGGTGGTCATAAAGTGTATTATAATTAAGACACATATTCAGGTACTCATGACAACATAAGGCAAGTATTCAGGATGGAATGATGGAGTTCTTGTGTCGTGCTGCGGTACACCTCAGTGCACAGGTTAGGTCCGAGTTTTACTATACAATAACTTAATTAATGTAATATAGTACAGTATATTATAATTATTTATCATTCATGAAATATATAAAAGATGGCATGAACCCTGCAGCAGCTTCCTTTCCTTTCACAAAAATTTTCATCGTTGGAACATAATACAAAATTAAAACACATACCCATACATTACACTCGTAAAATTGAAAATTAAACTTAAATGAAAATAATCCCACAGTCCTACAGTGAGGATAACTCACGCTTCGCTCCTTAGGGAGTCAAGGGAGCCCTTGAGGGTTTCAAGGCAGCCCTTGACTTGACTCAGCAAGGCGGCCTTGGTTCGTGATGGCGACCCTCCTACGGGGGAGCCCGTGGCCGTCGGGGGGTGGGAGCTCGAGGTCGCCCCACACGCGGGGGAATTATCCCCACGGCACGAGGATTTAGGGAAAAAATTGTCGTGGGACGCGCGCGGCGCGAAGGAAAAATGGTGCGATTTTCTGGCTAAATTCTTGTCAAGCGTAGCGGATTTTAGGGACAAATGTTCAGCGATTATTTTGGTTTTCAGGGTAAAATTGTCGTGAATAATCTTAGGGGAAAATTGATCACTTTTAGGGTAATTCCGGCGTGAAGACTTTGGGGAAAAATACGGACGAGGCGAAGCAGGGACGGAGGAGCTGGCCGCCGATACGGCGACCTTAAAGGCGTTAGGGTGACCGTAACTTGAAGCCGAGTCTGCGCGTCGTAAGTTGCTTTGCGTTGACAACCTCAAGTCGTAAGGCCGCTTACGACCAGCCAGGGGGAGCTCAGATGTGGGGAGTGGGGTGTTACGGAAATTCTGGCAGCGGCCGAAGAAATCGCCGCAATCGGCAATCGTGGCTTCGGAGAGAGAAGTAGAAATCTTGGTGCTTTTTCTTTCCACTACGAAACAACCATCCACGATGTCCGCCATGTCGGGGGATATTGTATATCCCGTATGGCCATCGAACTCAGGATTGCCAACAATACGAAAAACTCAGAGCTACGTCCATCGTATCTACACACGACGTTTCGACCGCTGCACCATCTGCCCTATTCACGTCATAAATTCACGAAATTGTCACCACAATTTCACGAAATTGCCACCACAATTTCACGAAATTGCCACCACAATTTCACGAAATCACCGGCAAATTTGTGCTGTCTTCTGGTGACGGCAAATCAAGTCAGCAGAGAGTTCTAAGGGATGTCATTACGACGCCGAACACCGGCCTGATATTAGGACCAATGCATAATTTAGCGGAAATATTCAACGAGATTGACTGTGGCAAGTAGGTGAAATAGACAATGAATTTTCACTGAAATACGGAACAAGATAAACATTTAGCGTTCCCCTTTGTAAAGGAAGTAGACTTGAGGCATTATATTAACTGCCATTTTTTGGTATTTCTATATAACTATGTCGAAACACCTGGGCCCATACTTTCAAAAAAAGTTAAGAGATCGTAAGTTCATCAGCCAATCATTGACGGCCTATCGAGCAAAATCTACCAATCACAGACAAGAAAATAGGTCGTAAGTACTTACGTTCACTTAGCGAGTTTTGAAAGTATGGCCTCTGAACTGCAACGACCAACAGGAAGGATCAAGTTCAATAGTGCTGTAATCATGAGTAAGACAACGGTAGTAATAAGCGCATATTTATCATACAACCTGCCATATTGTCTTGTCTAGAGTCCCAAGAACGCTGAGGCCTTATACACGTAGCAGCCTAAGTACACGTAACGGTCTAAGTGCACATTGAGGCTTAGTACACGTAGCAGTCTAAGTACACGTAACGGTCTAAGCGCACGTTAAGGCTTAGTACACGTAGTGGCCTAAGTGGTACACGTGACAGTTTAAATGCACGTTGAGGCCTTAGTATATTAAAATAGTGGTTCACACAGCAGTCTAAGTTCGCGTAGCTGCCGATTTCCAGTCTGTGATTTGTGGGTTTAGCTTGGGAAGCCGTCAGTGATTGGCAGACGGAGTTCCCAACTCGTAAATATAAGTTCTATTACGGTAGCCTGGTATAACCTTGGGCCATACTTTCAAAACTTGCTAAGTGAACGTAAGTACTTACGCTCTCTTTTCTTGTCTATCGTTGGTGGAATTTGCCTGAAAGGCCGTGAATGATTGGCTGATGAACTTACGATCTCATTACTTTATTTGAAAGTATGGGCCTGGCCCTGACGTTGCAGTGGCCAGATAAGAGTAGTACCTGCAGCACTAGGTTGAGATCACTGACACTAGTTTCGTTGCACACAATTCGATACCTAACTATAAGTACCTAATGTAGAATGTTACGTATATCATACAAGCAGAAACTATAGGTTTCCCGCCATTTTCGGAGCTGCGATATTCCCGCTAGATGAGTTATCCTATTTAATAGTTAACAAATGTACACGATCGAGTTTACTCGGTAGCTACGTTACTTGTACGTGCTGGGCGGGAGACGAAGGGTCTTTTTATATAACGAACCATATACTACATATTTTTCCTATAATAATTAGTGTTACAAACAAGGATCGCAATAAAGGTACGACTTTAAGAAGGCAGGGAGTCGTTCAAGGTTTAACTGGATCAGGTTAGCGGCTACTAACTTGAAAGGTTAATCGTTTTGGGTTCAGCCGAGCCTTGCACCTACAGGAAAAATTTTCTTTAGAAATCGATAAAAAGTTTTCAAAGCAGCAGAAAATTGGACGCCCATCCCGTGATGGCGAAGTCAAAATTTATACGGGAGTCAATCATAATGAAGGAAGTTCGTATTTTTGTGGGTCATTCTCTGTGGAATATGTGCTGCTAACCTATTACCTATTGAGAGAGACACACAACACAACCACACCTCACCAGCGCCAGCGGCAAACTGAATGCTACGTGAGAACTTGAGAACGATGAGACTCAGCCTGAGGATAATTGAATGTTGACATTGTAGAACTCGGGGGCAACGCAAGCAGAACTCGAGACCAGCGCAGAACTCCAGACCATCTCAGAACCAGAGACCATCTCAGAACTCGAGTCAGAACCAGAGACCATCTCAGAACTCCAGACCATCTCAGAACTCCAGACCATCTCAGAACTCCAGACCATTTCAGAACTCCAGACCATCTCAGAACCAGAGACCATCTCAGAACTCCAGACCATCTCAGAACTCCAGACCATCTCAGAACTCCAGACCATCTCAGAACTCCAGACCATCTCAGAACTCCAGACCTCATTAGT